CTTCATACAAGAAAGATCCTAACACATGGAACTAGGGTTCCTCAAAACCTAAGTGAAGGGAAGTTACTCCATAGAGAAGAGAGAGACTGCAGAAATCTGATCTAGATCTTCAATCTCCATCTCCAAGCTTGATTCACGAGCTCCAATGGCGAATAAATCCTCCAAAATAGCTCCAAGAATGTTCCCAAGTCGCTCTCTCTCTCTAGGGTTCGTCCCTTGGGTGTTTGGGAACCAAAAACCCCGCTCTCCCCTTTCCTTTTGCTGAAAATCAGGTTTTAAACAGGAATTTCGGATCACGCGGCCAGGCCACACGGGCGTGTGGCTTTCCCAGCTGCCCTTGTGAAGGCTCGGTGATTTCCACACGGCCACGACCCACACGGCCGTGTGGAGTTCCAGGATGCCCGTGTGGCTTACCCAGCCTCTGTTTAATGCTTCATTTCTCCCTCGTCCGGACTCCGAATCAGTCGCCGTTTGATCCCAGACGCTCGTAGTCTCGTCTTATTTCTTTTCATGACAAAATTCCATGATTATTTGTCCATAATATGAGATAGAAGTCCATTATTTCTCAGGTCATGCTCGTGTTTCTTCTCCCGAATTGCCAAATGATCTCCGATTGACTTGAAACTTGCGCCTATGCTTCAATTTACATGTTAGGACCTGAAATGTGACAAAGGAACACAACCTAGCGTAAAATAGTCCAAGAAAGCAGAAACTCAAGCCAAAATGATCAAGAAACGAGGGTGCAAACATGTGCAAATCCGATGTTATCAAATACACTAGGGATAACTATACCCATGTGAATAATCTCTCAGATGTTTGCTTTTTTTGTTTTACTTTTATGTTTAAATAAGACTACTATTCAGTACAGCTAGTATTGTGGACTGGTTGATTTGCTTAATGGAATGGATGGTTAATTTTTCCTTTGTGTCTTACGCATTTAAAGGGAGTTTGTCTAACTATTGGTGTAGAAGTAATGTCCTTCTTCCTTTTTCGCAGATTTGGTCATTGCCAAGCTGAGTGGGAGATTGTTGACATCAGCTCGACAAAGACAGATGAGTGTTTCTCCTCCAACGGTTAGTGTCAACCAAGAAGGAAAGTTATTGGACGCTGGAATCGGAGGAGCAAATCAAGCGGTGGGAGACAAGGCAAGTTTGCGCAATAAGAGATTGGAGAATCAAGTATAAATGCCAAATCGTGAGAGTAATTCGAGACAGATTTTTTGCAAGGGAAAATTAGTACAGCAAAGGAAATTTTTGTGTGATTTTAAAGTGAGAAAAGTGGTTCAGAGATAGAGAGAGATATCTGGGTTGAAGTTTATCTATCTATAGTCTATTAGCTAAGTAACTGATAGGTGTGTGAGTGGAGTGAATCTCAATCGAGCGAGAAGCTGATTGAGGGGGAATTGATCAAATATGTAACTGTTTGTGTGTTTTAAATTCATCATCTTTAGTGAAAAGTCAGAGATCGCGGGTTCGCGAATCGCTGACCGTGGAGTAGTCGGTGCATGGTATCATTTGGCCCTTCACCGGAAACCACGTAAAAGTTCTGGAGTCTTTTCTTATTATTCTTTGCAATCTGGGTTTGTGTCTGTGTCTGTTCTTGTGTTCTTGAGTTGGTCAAAGAACAAGAATCAGAAGACACGTTTTGATTCATAAGAGCCAAAAGTTGGGAGGTTGTAGAAGTTACTGATACGGTGTAGTTTTGTCTTAAGTAGTGTCTTGGGTTTTTTTTTTTAAATAGAACGTGGGGTGTTTAAAAGAAAGACTAGTTGTCTATTTTAAAGTCTTGTAGGGCTTTAAGCCCATTTTAGATGTCCGCTTTGATCCAAATCCAGAAACAGTTTGATTAGTGGTGTGTAGAACTGATATCGATCAAAACCCCTCATTTCATGTCACTAGGGTTTGTTCTTGTTCTCACAATTCCCAGGAACGAAAACAAAGAGAGAAGCTCACTATTGACTACATCAAAGCCAGAAAAAGACGGGAAACGTCTCGCGCTCGAGGTACCAACACCCTTTGGGTGCAGGAGTTCTCTGGTCTGCTTAGCTTCTTGTTTATTTGAATCTTTAACTTTTTGTCCTTTTTGTTTGGCGCACTTGTGCTGTCAATTTTGTTTGTTTTTTAACATGCATTACGCGTTTAATAATATAATCACCATTATAAAAAATGTATTAAATTTAGTTTTTCTTTTGCCAAAATGAATGAAATTTTTTATCGATTAGAAATAAAGCGGTGAATTTTTTTTTTTGCTAACAAAGTGTCATACTTAGAAATAATATATTTATTCCTTCAAAAAAATAATATATTTATTAATTAGTACCATAAAAAAAGAACAAAAAAAGAAACAACTCCCTACAAGATCTAGATAATATTTAGGCAAAATACACTTGTATAGCCAAAACTTTCGAGGTTTTGTCAATAATAGATGGATTTGGAGAAATACCACTTATAGCCTCATTTTTAACACTTAGCCGCCTCCGTCAAATACTTTAACATCGTTAACAATTCCGTCAGTTAAATAGACGATAAGTTGATGTGGCTTCCACCTAGACGACACATAGCCGCCACGTCACATTTTAAAATTAAAATATATATTTTTTGTATGTTGAATCTCATTTAATCTCCCTTCTTCTTGCGACAAGAATCCGGCTACTTCCGGCGCTCTCTGCTTCGTCGTCATCGTCGATTCCTCACCCATGCCAAAAATAAAATTAGAGGTCGAAGTAGATACAATCCTCGCCCCTGAATCGGGTTGCTGGTAGATTCATCACTCCAAATCCATCTTCTTCTTCTCCAAAAATCAATCACACCAACACCCACCATATCCCTAACTTGTAAAAGTAAAAACCCAATGTGAGGTAAAAAAAAAAATTCAGCATTCTTCTTTCCTGCACAAACGCTGGTATAGATGATAGATCTGAAAAAAATCAAAGAAAAGACTAAAATCTCCGCCTTATTCTTTCCTGCACAAATGCCGCCTTCTTCTTCGCGATTGATTTGAGGAAATCGTCATCGTCGTTTCATTGTTCACCACTTAAGTCTCCCATCGACCGGCGGCGTAAAATCCTACTTTGTGCTCCTGAATCGAGCAAGTCGTCGCCAGCGCCAGAAGCGTCAGGATCGAATTCCTCAATGCTGCTGGAAAAATGGATCGATTGCTGGAACAGAGTACCGATTCGCTTGTCCAAGTAAGAGTCTGGGCCTGATCTGGGTTGTTGATTCTCCGGGCTCCAAATCTCTAGTGGCGGAACTGAGAATTAGGGATTTGATTCTCCACTTCCGCTAAAGGGTACGCTTCATCGGATATGCTTGTGAATTCCCATGGGATTGGGGGTGGTGGCGGGTTGAATATTGCTATTGTGGTGAGTCTCCGATGGTGGGGAAGATGTATTCGCCTCTTCCTCTTCTTCCCTACTTCCAGCTTCTACGATTGGATCGACACGTCCTTGAGGAGCTTGTCGCCATCTTTATTGAATAGCCTCTGTCTCGCGACCGGGACGATGAAGTTCTCGTCGGAGAGGAGGGCATTGTGGCTAGGGAAGCCCGAGAGCGAAGAGGGAAGCGGCGTCGTGGCCACGGTGGGGGAATCAGGGGCGGTGGTGGTTTGGATCGGAAAATTAGGGATGCGTCGCTGAAGAGAGAGAAGCAAAGAGAGAGAAGGGGAAAGTGAAAATGGACGGTGGGTGGAGACTTTTCGGTTCCACTTTAATTTTAATCTTATAAATTAATCCATCGTGGAATTGTTAATAGAGAAACTCGTCAACTCAGCTTTTCCGTTTGTCCAGTCAGCCTATTAGTTGACACTGTTAAAGAATTGGACGAAAGTGGCTATAAGTGGTATTTCTCCAAAATTGACTATTATTGGCAAAACCTCGAAAGTTTTGACTATACAAGTGTATTTTGCCTAATATTTATTGTCATAACACTATTTTAAACAAGTATTAGTAGAAATTAAAAATCATCGAAGTCCTCTATATCCTATCATTAAATCTGTTCATAGTCGGCAAGCATCCTTTAAGCGCAATATAGAGTAGGTAGATACCAAGGATTTACGACACAATCAGGGACCCACTAAAACAGTAATTCACAACAAAGTCCAGAAGAATACTAGGATGGCATTAGTAGACAAACTATATCCACACAAAATGACTTTAGATGTCGAAATCTAGAAATTTTCTAAAATAATTGAAGATAATTACGAGTGGCCTGACAATGACTTTGGCCGTCGTTGTTTTCAGCAGTGACTAAAAACAGGAGCTTCATTTTTAGTTAATTTCTCCACCAAAAGCAGAAATGAAGATAAGCACGGTCGATTATTTAATTTGGATTTCACCAGTGTTATGGTTGAGAATCAGAACTATCATAGAATCATGTTTGTCACGTCGAGTGGAATGTCAATCAACTAAATCTAGTTCGATTATATTGGTGTCATTAATTAAATCGACGTGAATACTGTCATGATCGATTTATGATCAAATTCATTTGATGTTAATGGTGTTTTCACATTTTTTCATATTTTGTTAAACCGATATGAACCGACACAAACTAATTGTACTACTAGTCGAACCATTCCCTTGTTAAACTGTAATTGTACTACTAGTCGAATCATTTCACTTGTTAAACTGAAAACTAACTAAATCATTTTCTGGGCAACCTCTGATAACAAACCTAAACCTCGAACCTTCCGAGGAAAGATAGGACTGAGAAGTGAGAAGTGAGAAGTGAGAGGGTGATCTGTATTTTTAATAGATTTTTTTAAGGGGCTATTCCCCCCTTTTTTTTTTTAGATATTCCTTTACTTTTTAAGGTGACATATTTGTTCCTTTTGGATGTTGTAGCAACGTATTAAGTATTAACCAAACCATGTATGTTGTCTACATTCCCGGCTAAATACCAACACAAACGTATCCGTACAGAAACACGTACAGGACACCAAATAAATACATACATACATATGCCATTACTACATACATATGCCTCTATATAAGACCCTCCATTTCTCCACATCGACTCACAACCACCATTCTCAATAAATCGTTCCAACATCTCCTCCTTTTTGTTTTTTTCCAATGGTGGCGACGCCGGCGACCACCGCAACCTTCCGGGAGATCCAACTCCCACAGCAAAAGCAGTTCGATTCCATCAACTTCCCCTCCGTCCTCGTGTCCCCCGACATCCTATCCTCCGCCGCCGCTACTCTCCCCGAGGTCACCGCCGCCATCAAGAGCGAGAAGCCCTTCCTCGAATCCCTCCTCCGGGAAGCCGGGGCCGTGCTCATCAGAGGACTGCCCCTCAGCTCTGCCTCCGACTTCAATCAGGTCGTCGAGGCCTTCGGTTTCGAGGAGCTGCCTTACGTCGGCGGGGCGGGGCTCCGCAAACGTGGTGGTCGGCCGTGTGTTCACCGCCAACGACGCTCCTCCTCATCAGAAAATCTCCTTCCACCATGAGATGGCCCACGTACGTATATACCGTGACAGAGGCAGGATTTGAAACTACCCTATCCTCTTTTCATAATATAAATATATAATTATTTAATAAATAAAATTAAAACTAATTATATCCAAATAATTCATTTACCTCTAAAATTAATCGACTAATAAAATCACTGTTTTCATAAAAAACCACAATGAAATTTCATATTGTGAAAAAAACACAAAACATTTGTTGTCTACAATGTTAAGTAAGTATCTTTAATGTATCGCACTAAACAATCATTAGCAAACTGGTCGCCAATTCGAATTCAAAACTTGTTATTAATATAACTCAAATCTGAAAAATGTTCTTTTCGCACTTGTAGTTGCAAATTGGTAGAATAAAAACTAGTGGAATTGCTGCTGTCCCTGAAATTTTCAGGATTGTTGGGGGAAAACAAATAGACTGAAGGAGAAAAAAGATTTTATTAGGTCTTTATTGCAATTAAAAGTTCGTTTATAGTATAATAAATTAATTTTATATCAATTTATGAACAACTAATAAGTTGTGTTTGTACTGATAAAATACTATAATACTACCTTTAATTGTTTGTTTCATCATCAATATAAATATGTATGGGTATTTTTTTTCACTTCGAAATTTTCCCCTGTCCCGTGACAAGGGCTAATGCCCCTGCCTCCGCCTATGCGAATATATATGCACACACCGCCATGGTCACGATCACAGGAGTCAAACTCACGATTTAAATCCTACAATCATACACTATTGACGATACAATTTAAATCGTTAAAGTTTTTGAAATCGATTTTATCATTCAAATCATTGAGTCAATTTTATTTCCTAGAATTTGTTAATTTACGCCTCTTTTCCTTCTCCTTCACCAACATCATCTAATTCTCTCACACTAATCGCCATCGATTTTACCTCCATTTTTTATGATTTCCGAGATTCGAACTAATTAATGGTCTGATGATGTGTATGTGTTGGCAGATTCCGAAATACCCGTCGAAGGTGTTCTTCTTCTGCGAGGTGGAGCCCGGCGGCCGGGGGGAGACGCCGATTGTTCTGAGCCACGTGGTGTACGAGCGGATGAAAGTGGAGTTCCCGGAGTTCGTGGAGAGGTTGGAGGAGAAGGGTTTGATTTACACCAGAATCGCTGGTGACGAGGACGATCCTTCCTCCACCATTGGTCGGGGCTGGAAGTCAACTTTCTTGACCGATGACAAGGCCGTCGCTGAGGAAAGGTAAGTCAAGCCCTCTTCCACAGTCTTGGTTATTTTCCTTTTGGTGCGAATAGATAGATAAATTTCAAATTAAGATATTTGAAATACATATTTTAATTTATGCATTTGAAATATTGAAATTTGAAATAAATGTAATTCAAATTCGTTGTTTGGATTCTCATTTGTATTTTCAATTTTCTAATTTTTTTATTTTAATTTTGAACTTTTTGTCACTTACTATAAATTTTGTTAAATACAATTTGATAACCAAATTTATTTTTCCTTACAATTTACCTAAACTATTAAAATTTAACAAAAAAGTCCAAAAATTTTGATGGTAAAATTACATTTTGGTTCCTTTATATGTTTTGCTTCACACTATAGTACCTAGACTTTTAATATTTTACAAATAGTCCAATTTTTTGTTAGGAGGTATTTCAAATCACTAGTTGTTGAACTGTATTTGAAATTGACAAGTAATACACTAGACATGTATTTGGAAATCACCCCATGAATTTGGCACCAATCCAAACACCAAATGTAATTAATATCCAAACACATGATTTGACATTTGAAAATCCAAATCACAAATATCAATCACTCCTATAGTGTTATGATCCTTGTTATAAAAACCCAATATATGGTTGTACCAGTATAACCGTAAAACTAGTTATAATGACGATTTGGATCATTTGTTTAGACAGATAAGATAAACTTCCCATAAAAAAGATAGGGTTAAACTCAACGATTATGAATGGTTGGACATGAAATCAGATGAACAATCGCAGTTTGATTGGTTCGCTATTTTTGACAATGAAAACAAAAAAGAAAACAAATTAATGAAAACTAAGATTGACTAGTCTGAATTACTAATTTTATTTTTTGCTTCCTTTTCTTCGCTTTCCAATCTCTTTCTAGACTTTACATGGTACATTACCGATTGCCGCACCAATTATTAACTTCAATTTAATAAAAAAAATTATGATATTTTCTGCACAGTTTGATTGATTTGTTAGAACTTTTGATGATGGAGGTACGGATTTGATTTTTTTTTTTATGATTAGTGACAAATTCAGTCTTGTATTATATAGTATTTTATGTTATAGCATACAGAGAATTCCTATCAACGGTTATATAACACTTAAATGTTGAATTATAAATAACTAACTTTTCCAGTTTAGCCACGTCCGCTTAAAAAAAAAGAGGTTATGATCAGTAACGGAAATTTAATTATCTGGAATAACCATTTGTTCCGATTAGAAATTGTAGCCGAATATGTTTTTGTCAACGTAATGAATGATAATTAGCTAGCTATCAAATTGCTTGAAATGAAGGACATTATTATTTGGATGTTAATTACTCGACATGAATAAAAGTTCATGAATTTGATCGGTGGAAGATTTCGAATTGGGTACGGACGTATGGTATGAATCAAATTAAAGCTGGAACAAGTACTGAGTGCAGGGCGGAGAAGGTCGGGGTGAGGCTGGAGTGGCGGGAGGGAGAGATCGGCGGAGGAGCGAAGACGGTGATGGGGCCCATCCCTGGGGTGAAACTGGACGAGGCCAGGAACCGGAAGACGTGGTTCAACATGATGGTCGACGCCTACATGTGCTGGGACGACGCGCTCAACGACCGGAAGAAGGCCGTCACGTTCGGGACGGTGGCTACCTGCCGGAGGAGGCCGTCCGCGGCTGCGAGAGGATATTTCAAGAGGAGAGCGTCGCCATTCCTTGGAAGAAAGGCGACGTCTTGCTGCTCGATAACCGCGCCGTGCTTCACGCTCGCAATCCGTTTGACCCTCCTAGAAGAATCCTTGCTTCCCTCTGCAAGTAGCCAAATGAGCGAGGAGAGGAAAATTAATGTTTCTTCGTACTGAATAAATAAGACATGGTTGGTGGTCATATCATGTATTATGAAGAAGGTGGATTTTTAGAATATATGTATCTTGATGATGGGGTTTGTAAGAATATGGGTGACTTAAGAAGATAATGTTTGATTTCCAAACTTTGTTACAATAAAATAGAGTAAATTGCAAGTTAGGTAATCGGAATTATAAAACTTTTGGTGACTAAAAGTATTTTATTTAATTTGCTGTTATTAAAATTAGTTAAATATTTAAGGTTGAGTCATTCTCCGTTATTCTTTGTAACAACATTAATTTTTAGATGATTGGGCTAACAGAAAAGTGTAATCACTAATTTTATTTAAGGTCATTTTTCTTTCGTACACTTCCATTCAAACAAAAATCATAAGTTTTTTTAGTTCGTACAAATTGAACATATCATCTGTAGTTCATTGTTTATATTAGAAAGCGTTATAAGAATTTAAAACTACTATAACCTCTTGATAGAAAGCTATGATATAGGGGTCATTTGGATCCAGGTTTTTAATTTGTGGGATTTTGGCTTAAATCACTGGTTTAAAAATCAAGGTTTTTAATTTGTGGAATTTGTGTGGAATTTTAAAATAGCTGATCACCATCAGCTATTTCATAATCCCACAATTGTGGGTTTCTGAAATCTCAAATATTTAAAATCTCTTATCATATAATTGTTTTCCAAACGAGTGATTTTAATAAAATCACACATTATGTAGGATTGTGCCCAAATCCCACACCCAAAACTTGCACCCAAGTGACCCCACAATGTTAACGAATAAGTCACTTAACCTCGCTTTGTTTCTCTTATTCAATTCGGTATAAGGCCAAATAGAAGTCCATGTCCACACCACAAAGTAAAAAGTAAAATATAAGTTCCACTATTTGCAGAGTGCAGCCAAAACCCGACGAGGTGGAGTGAACAACTTCCGGGCATGAAGAACTGCAGAGTTATCTATCAACAGGATATCCCCTTTCTGCCAAGGAATAGCAACGCTTTCCTCTTCCATGATCCGCAAACAACCATAGACCACATCTCCCGGCAGAGGGTCGCCATTTCCAAACGCGATGGTCTTGGTTGGATCGTTTCGCTCGTCGCCAAAAGCTGTGTAACTCGGCACCATCCCGTTAAACCAAACTTTACGATCCCTCGACTTGTCGTATTTGATTGCTGGCATTGGGCCGACTGTTGTTCTCGCCAACGATCCGTCATCAATCCACTCCAGCTTCATTCCCAGTTTTGCAGCCCTGTAAATGACAAATTTGGTGAGAGTCGTCGTCATCATGTCTGAAAATTCAAGTCTTTTAGGCAGGATAGATAGAGGTGCTGAGTGCTGACCGACCTTTCATGAGCGACATGCTTGTCATTGGTAGAGAATATTGATTTCCATCCACGACCGATTGCTGAAGAAGGGTCATCTTCTTCGGCCAATACTCTGTTGGAAAGAAGCCCTTCCTCTTCCAGCTTGTCCACGAATTCAGGGTACTTCTCTTTCATCCTCTCGTACACCATGTGGCTCAGTACGATTGGCGTCTCCCCGCCACTCCTTGGCTCCACTTCGCAGAAGAACATCAGCTTAGTTGGAAATTCAGGAACCTGTAGTGAAACGAATTTGGTTATGTGGCATACATGTGGTTGCAAAAGCAATCGAATGGAGTAAGCAACTAAATTCAAAGAACAAATTTGGACGAACAACAATTGGGGTTGGAGGTCACTCAATCAATTTCCAATAATTGGATGCTAGCAATAATATATCGGCCTTGTTTCAGCCAGTAACAGTTTCCACAAGCATTCTGTAGCATAATATTCAAAATATTCAAGTCCTAACGCAACCCATTAGAAATTAATATTTAGAGGACTAACATGGGCCATCTCGTGGTGGAAGGGGATCTTCTGATCCGGCGGCGACTCATTCGCGGTGAAGACACGGCCGACGACTTTAGTCCGGGAGGCTCCGCCGCCGACGTAAGGGTAATCGGGGAATCCAAACGCTTCCACCACTTGGTTGAACTGGGAAGCAGTGGAGAGAGGGAATCCCCTGAAGAGGATCGCCCCTGTTTCGTGAAGCAGAGACTCCAGGCGCGGCGTCTGAGATTCGATGGTTGAAATGAAGTCACTGAGAGAAGGCAGCAACGTTGGATCTGGCGCTAGGACGGAAGGGAAAGGCGGGGAATTGGGGAACCGTTTCTGATTTGGGATTTGGATTTCCTGGAAAAGGTTCGCCATCGCCATTTTTGTTCTTGGTTGTTGTTTAGCTGTGGTCTCTCTGTTTTCTTGCTTCATCTGCTTTTATTAAGATGTCTACTCTTCCCTAGTGGGTATCTCTGACTTTGAATGCTCTGTTTTTTGTCTTAAAGAATGCAAATTCCCACGTGTGAAAATTTGCGTTTGATTTGGATATCTTGCCTACTAGTGTAGGTTTTCTCTTCTGTTGACTTTGTTGGTGATAGACTGATAGTGGATCAGGATGAGTGATAGCATTAGCTAGTGTCCTAGTGACGGGCAGTGGACGGGTTTGTCTAACTGTCTAACTGTCTTAGTCATTATAAAGACTTATATTGTATGTTTTCTTTAATTGATACATGATAAATAAATATTCCTTTGTAATATTTACATTATATATTAGTAATTTACATAATTTTTATAGAATGTTGTTCCGCAAATCTTTCATAATGTGTGATTGGATAGTAAAACCAATTTGGAAAAATATCATATTTGATTGAACTACAATGAAAAAAGTTAATTTACTTTATATAACTTTTGAATAATACAAATTGATGAGATGGTGAAGATTGTAGTTAATTATAGATTTATATAGTGTATTTTTAATATGAAATTTTTTTCTGCAATGTGAAATGAAGAAGTAACCAAATAGAGGTGTATATCGAAATAGTTGTCTAAAGGAAAAAACCTTATGATACAATTTAGTGTAGGCAATGGTAAACAAATAATTGCATAAACAACTACATATGAGGAAAAAAGAGTTATTGTGCAATTGGGTGTAGCGGATAAAAAAATCTGGTGAATAGTACCTTACAAAATAGAAAAACAAATTTAGTTCTTAGAATAAATATATTTTTTAGCCAACCTTTCACGAATTCTAAAACATTAGTCAAACCTTTGAGTGTAGGAATTATTAGTCAAACATTTCATAACACTACAAAATTATAGCCATTTTCCGTCAAATACATGGACTGACGATTAGCTTACGTGTAATTATGTTAATGCTAACGTTAAATCTTATGGTGAAACTTTTCCATCATGTGTGACTTGCACGGTTTTTTTCTTAAGTGAAATTGATTGTTAAAAACTTATAATTGGTTGTTTAAAAAATTATAATGGATCATAGTTAATAAGATACAGTATGGGAAAGTTATGTATAAATTACGTACGGGTATTTTACTTTGTCTTTAATTTAATGTTACGTTTAATAGTATGTTAATAATTATAAATATATAAATAATAGTAAAATTTAAAGAATTATTCATTAAATTAAATACGTATATTAATTGTGTTTACTACGAAAATTATCAAATAAACGAAAAAAATGTATACGTGTAATGGATTGATTGTTTAGAAAACTTATAATGAACCTGACTACATTAGATATAACCCTTCCTTACGTAATTAAGGGAACAAAACAATAACCATAATGCCATTATTTTGTATCAAACATAGCTTTTAATCCTTGCGCGTTTAAAAAACTTATAATGGACCTGACTAGTGACTACATTAGATATAACCCTTCCTTACGTAATTAATTAAGGGAACAGTAACAATAATGCTATTTTTCGTATGAAACAGTAACTTTTAATCCTTGGTTACTGGCACTATTATATATAATAATATTATCATACTTAAAATAATAAACTTAGATTTTTAATTATAATACTAATCGAACCTAATAAATCATAAAATCAATAAAGATACAATCATTCTTAATATGGTTCAAAGAGTCTGATCCTAAAACATCCATTAATCAATAAGATATAGTACAATACTATCCAAATCATTCTTCTCCTACGCTGGTACATCTAAGAAATTAATAAATAACTAACACAATCTTTTTAACTAGAGAAAAAACAGTGTTGTGAAAACTGAGTCGAGCTAGTCGGTAGGACGAGTAAAACCGACAATGACCACCACGATGACTCGGTTCCACCTTAAAGGCGTCCATAAGAAACCGGTCGGACATCGGTCTGAATGATTAACCGGTTCTCGTCTTATAGCCATCAATTGATAATTAAATTTTTGAAAAAAGAGGAAAGTTTTGTAATTCTCGGGTTAGAGAAGGCTCTTCACTTCCAAGTTCCAACCCTAAATTTGGTTAACACATATGCTCTCTTCGCCTTCTTCACCACTAGGGATGACAAAAATGTCTGTAACCGTGGATATCCGCCTGAATCCGACATAATCGGCTAGGGTAAAACTCAAACCTGAAGGATTTTCAGTGGGTACGGGTAGAACCAAAAACCCGAATATTGCGGGTATTGGGTGGTCATGATTTTCACTCCATCCAACCCGAACCCGACTGATTATACACATGCATATGTATGTATAATATTTTCATGAAGTCGTGTTGTTTTTAATTAATTTTCTTCATTTTAGTGATTCTTTATCGTACTTTTCCATTTATGTAATGTGAGTACAAGTGTTAATGTTATCATGGTAGTTGGAGTGATGGCCATTTCCAACATGGTCTTCACCATAGGTTGTGGAGGTGGTTCTTGGAATGATGGCGGAGATGCTTGAATACCATGGAGGTACGGTTGATAGGCATGAAGAGGTGGTTGTTCTTGAAACCGGGATCTTTGGCTACTACCAATTCGACCTTTGGTGATCTCCCCACTCCTCGAGCCAACCATATGGATCCATAGCTACACCTGAACACTATCTATACTCACAAAAACAACAACAACCTATGAAAGCACATGTGTGAAAAGAAAAGAAAACAGAAAGCACACAAACACTTAACACAAGATAACTAAAGGGAACATAACAAAAGAAAGAAGAATACGAGAAAGAAAATATGACATCACAAACACAAAACACAAGAAAATGGCACCAAAGAATTGATGCTACTCAAACAAAAAATACAAAACACGGCAAAACAACGCCAAACTTGGCACAAAACACACAAACACAACAAAAGATTAAACTAGTAGTTCTCAGCTTTTCCTAATGACTTAAGACTCCCCGACAACGACACAAAAACTTGATCGCTCTTGCGTGATCGAGCTTTAAATTTATAGTCGATGCATACTCTCTATTCAATCCTAACTACGCCAAGTCTAACCTAGCTAGAATTGTAGTAAAGTGGCTTGGTCATATTCCAAGGGAACCCTAAACTTACTATTACTTTGCTCCAAACTACTATCTAATCGGTTCAAAGGTTTGGTGAAAAGTCTAACCTAACCTAATCCGAAAGGAAAAATAAACAACCAACCAAGTGGTTGAGAGAACGCTAGAAATGAGGCGGTTGCCTAGGATCAAATCCTTCTAGCTATGGTTGTCAAATAGGGTTAAGAGAATTTCGTGAGTGAGCTCTTTTCGTGGGCTTTCGTGGTTATCCACACGCAATTGAGTACGCCTCCCCGAAATCCATGTTAGTCACCTCGATCTAGGCTATCGTATCTGGGGCATTAAGGTCATAGGTCATTTCAATGGATACTACCCACCGTCCACACCGAGGTTTTATCCCGGGTTCTATCTAGGACGGAATTCCTATGGCAGGGGTACGGTCGCCTCATCCACTGTGAGATCATATTCATACATCTAACCTCAGTTTGTTTGATGGCGCATACCCTTCTAACCCTAAAACTCCATACTCAGCGTAGAAGCTCAAGTAGGCTACTAGAGATCATTTGGGCGACTTACCCAAACACAATCGAAGATAGGAAAGCATTAAAATCATCTAGATAAACACATTCAAACATAACCCATTCATTCACAACCTATAAACTAGGGTTCATATTCCCTAAACAACCATTAGAGATTCAAGTCATAGAGCACAAACTAGAAGAGAGGGAGTGATGAATCAATCTTCTTCTCCTTGCTTGCACCTTCTTCTTGCTCCTTGGGTGGATTGGATCTTCAATTAAGCTCTTCCAAGGTGTTTACCTCTCTAAAAATAACCCAAAACCCTAACTTTCTCACTCTAGGTCGGCTCTCCTTTGAAAAGTGCAGCAAGAGGGGTATTTATAGAAAGCTGATGGGGGTCAATGCCTCAAGGGCGTGACCCGATGGTCATGGCCGTGACCAGCCTGAAACGTCTTTGAATCGCCCGAAACGACGCATTTTGTCCCGTCTTTAAGTCCCAAGATCGCGACCTCCTTCATGAGATCATGGCCGCGATCTTTGTGCCCCGCGCATGATTTTTTCGCTGCCAAAACGTATCATGTTTGCGATCCGGGTGAGGAAACTCTCTGCTTCTTCTTGGTCTCCTGTTGAGGTTCGTGGCCACTGATCTCGACCACGATCGTCAGGCCGCGATCATTCACGACCTGGTCAAGGGCGGTGGCCTGTGGTCGTGACCTGTGCTTTTTCTTCCCTGCTTGCTCCTATGCTATAAGACCTGGAATTTCATCACAAACGCTTGGGAAAACATAAAGTATGAAAAAGTGGGGTCGATTCCCCTATGAAAACCTTCGTATCAAGAATACCTATGCTAAATTGCATGTTTTGCAAATATGAACGAATATAGGCATAAATACCTTGATATGTGGCCTAGACAAAGTGAATTAGCATGCAAATGCCTTGAGAATAGGGGCTAAATAACGCCTATTTTAGGTGTTATCAGACGCTTCCAACGCTTCATTCAAGTTCATGAGCGAAATTGGAAGTATCGAAAACGCAAACAATGTTGGCCAACATTCATTCACGTCTACCACAAGAGGAGGGGAAGCTTCTTCGTTATCGATCCCAGTTGAGGCAAGTGTGGTAATCTCACCAACCTTGAGGGCAAGGTTGCGCTTAAGGGGAGAGGGATGTTACAAGACAAGTCACCGTGATAATTCGGCAATTTCAGGGCTAGCGTTTTAATTCATATATATTTTATTATTATTTTGTGTTTCGTATTGTTTTGTGATATTTTTGCTATAATCATTAGTTATGAGTTATCAATGTCATAGTATGATTAGGAGTTGTGTTAGTTATTATTTAGTTTTTAATTAATATTCTTGTAAAGGGGGGAAAATAAATTCAAGTAGGAGAAGAAGAATGAGAGAAGCTAAAGTCTACGGTGAGAAGGAAATTGATTTGGTTGTGTAACTCTATAAATTAAGGCTTTACCTATAAGTAATAATATGAGAAATTTAGGTTTCGTACTTTATTATTCCATTAGTAATTTCTGTAGTTATTTGGAGTAGATCTCGCCATAAAAAAAGATCCTATACTCGTGAGCTTCGAGCACACATCCAAAGTTTGGAGATCAGAGATCCAGTCTCATAGACATCTAGATTATTACCTCAGGTTCCTCTTACCTGAGCTTGATCTAATAACAAAAGAGATCCAATTGCCCCTGCATATATATAATCAAGATTCCAACGCTAAGGCTAACTCCAACCCACAAAGTCAAATTTAACTCCCCAAATATCTAAATATTGCTTTTTAGCTCCTCAAACTCCATCTTCACTCCAACCCTACAAAAAGCTAAATTTAGCTCCCACCTTCATTTTTCAATTTATTTCAATAAACCATTCTTATTTGACCTTTAGTTTTTATATTTCACTTTAATTTTTTAATAATTCGTTACTACTTTTGAAAAAAAAAATTCGATGTAATTTTCTTTTAAATTCCGAGACAGTTTTTTTTTTTTTTTTTTTGAAAAATTAGTCGCTAATTTGTTACCGTTAACTTCGGGAGCACTCCAAATATGACCATTTTCTTGTAGTCGTTACTTTAAGACCATCTTGTTTGCTTGTAGATTGCATTGCATGTTTCAATATTAATTTTACTTCTTGTTGCTTGGTTGTTTGTATTTCAAGTATCAGTGTGATTGTATTTCAAGACCGTTTTTATGGCATTTAATATATGATCGTTGCAAAGTGACTATTGTTTCGTCACTACGTAAATTGATTCTCATTAAAATTTAAATCACACAAACAAAGCCACAACCAATCACAGATGAGGACGGAGAAGAAAAAAAAAAGAAAAAAGGGATTTGCCTGCCACATGGGAGTGACAAACGTGGGTCCAGTACCCACTTTTTTCCCAGCCATAAATGGCTTTCTTCCCAAAACCTAGTCAAATTAGCTCCCAATACTCATATTTGACTCCCTCTTTTTTTGTGGGTTGGATTAAGAAAAAGAGTTATATATGGCTCTTTGGCTTTTTTCTCCTTGGGTTGGAGCCAGCCTAAGAAGGGCCATGGTTGACACCTGTCTAAAATTCCATTTATGTCCCTACTATAATTCGCTATCACATTTTTGCCAATGCCCAATGTGCGATTCGATGACGTTTGTTTTGTTTTCTATTGCGGGTAGTGAGTTAGGTTTCTGCCGCTAGCTTTGATTCGAATCGGTAACTCCGCGCCGGGTCACTTCTTGTATAACAAACAATTGACATCTCCATCATTACGTCTTAAACTGATCCAATCACAAAGAAGTTCGATAAAACAAACACATAACAACACACGATACTTCCCTTTAACCACTTTTAAATATGCGCTGCCTAGTCCAACCAGATGCATCTGATTCTTTCTTTGACGTCATACAACACTGGAAACAAGTATAGAGAGCAGCAGCTTATTACATATGTAGACGTACATTTTCAACAGGGGAAATACAAGGATACATTACACAATCACATTACAAACATTCACACTTCTTACTTACTACTTGCAGAGTGCAGCGAGAATACGACGAGGCGGTGTGAAATGCTTGCGCCCGTGAAGAACAGCCAAATTGTCTAGAAACAGAATGTCACCCTTCTGCCAAGGAATAGCAACGCTTTCCTCCTCCATGATCTGCAAACAATCATACACGGCATCACCTGGCACAGCGTCCCCGTTCCCGAACGTGACCCCGTCGCTAAAAGCTGTATAACCCGGCACCATCTCGTTGAACCAGATCTTTCGATCCCTCGACTTGTCGTGTTTGATTGGTTGGTTCGCACAGATTACTCTTCTCACCGTTGACCCATCTCCTATCCACTCTAGCTTCATCCCCAGCTTTGCTGCTCTGCTTGTATTGTAGCAATAAAAAGCGAGAACCATTACAAATGTTCAAGTTTTGTTTAATCCAAGACAAGCTTCGGTGGTGATTGAGATAATTTTTGTTTGAGTAGTGAAAGGAAAGCGGTGAAATGAAATGGGTAATCGAGAGAAAGCAAGCACAAACCTTTGCTCCGCGACAAGTTTGTCGTTGGTGGAAAACGTTGACTTCCAGCCGCGACCGATTGCGGATGAAGGGTCGTCTTCCTCCCCCATCACTCTCCTGGAAACCATCCCTTCCTTCTCCAGCCGCTCTACGAAATCCGGGTGCTTCTCTCTCATCCTCTCGTACACCACGTGGCTCAACACCACAGGGGTCTCGCCGCCGCTCCGCGGCGCCACCTCGCAGAAGAAGAACAACTTCTTTGGATACTCCGCCGCCTGAAAAATCAATTCACCCAAGTTAGCAAGGTAATTTTGGTTTTGGATTAGGCTAAAAGTTTGGTTCACAGACATAAGCCATCTCGTGGTGGAAGGGGATCTTGCGATCGGGCGGGGCCTCATTGGCGGTGTAGACGCGGCCGACGACGTTAGTCCGGGAGGCCGCTCCGCCGAGGTAAGGCTGATCGGGGTATCCGAAGGATTCCACGACTTGGTTGAATTCGGCGGCGCTGGAGACCGGGAATCCCCTAAATAGGATTGCCCCTGTTTTATGGAGCAGCGATTCCAGAAGCGGCTTCTGGGATTCTATGGCAGAGATGAATTCGGCGAGAGATGGCGGCGAATTTGGCCCGAGGACAGCTGGGAACGGTGGGGAATCGGTGGAAATTTTCTGATTTGGGACTTGGATTTCCTGGAAAAAGTTGGCCATTTTCTGAGTAGCTCCCTTTTTTGTGTATGTGTATGTCCGGCGGTGTCAATGTATCCATCCATCTGCACAATTTATATCGGAGACCGAGAGCGACACAAGATAACCAGGCACAGAGCCATTTGGGCCGAGACTTATTCACACATCCCCTCCCTCAACTATTCTAAAATCCAAACCCAAGTTGTCCGTCCGGCCCAAGGGAAATAGTTAAATCTAGTACACATCAATAGAGTCCTGCATAACTTTATGGTCAATAATTACTAGCATACAACCTGGTCTTTAGTTAGTGAAATTTTGCATCGGTAATAAAATCTTAACATTATTTATCCAATTCATTTTAAGTACTTGAATCTTCTAATAGTAACTACCATATACGTAATAGTGTTTGTTTTGAAATGAAATATTTCACGACTTCATGTGTTCGAAATAAAAGGAGTACTTTGTTTTTTAATTGGCATGGACAATGATTTATTTTTTCTCTTACTTAGCAATGAAATATTTCACGACTTCATGTGTTTGGAATAAAAGGAGTACTTTGCTTTTTAGAAAATAGAGAAGGCAACCATTGATTAAACTTAATGGAAGTATAAACGTGCCATGTTTCTCATACCGGAAGATACAACAATATCATCATTCAATGATTGGATTAAAATTTTGGCTCACAAACTTACACTTCTTTTGCACTAATCATTCAATTAGCATATTAGTCTGTATAAAAATATAATTCCTGAAACCATTCAAAATAAACAGTCCAACATTCAAATCAAGCGAGATCAATATTAAAGAATAAAGACGATTATTAGTGTCACATAAATCGATATGGACAATTAAAATATATAGATAAATAAAACCTTTTTGTAGCTAATTGGCCCATTAAGAGAAAATAAACTCTCATACAAAAACAATCTTTAAAGAGATTTAAATGGAAAATATGGCTTCATCTTGTTGGAGGACTCAAAGAATGAAGTCTTAATTGTTTAGGTGCTATAATATAATATTTGTTTATTTGATATATATATATATATATATATATATATATATGGTGGCTACTTCGGTGCACTCACTTTTTTGGGTGCATTCAATGCACCCACCTCGAAAGTGGTCATAATACATCAAATTTTGAAATTTAATGGGTTGCATTAGTCTAATATGATGATATAACACAGAATCACAACTAATCAACCCATTATCCTAACCTATTAACCTTCAATTTTGAATCTCAACTCAAAATCCCAAATTGTAAACCCTAACCCTAACCCTAAATTCCTAAACCCTGAATCATTCAAATTAAAGTGAATCTTGAATGATTTTTGCACAAATTCATGTGGTTCTTGTTCATCATACCACAAGTGATGATTGACATCGTTTTCACATGAATCGCCTGCTCAGAATGCCGATTATGAGGCGGGTGCATTGAATGCACCCGAAAAAGTGAGTGCACCGAAGACATAACCATATATATATATACTGTAGAACTCCCATATATGGTGCCTTCTGCGGTACCCTGGATTTCATCCGGGGTACCGCATACCTCGAGTATGAAAACGCTATTTAGACCTCGAATTAGCAGGATTTTTGGGCATGATACTATACCCTAACCCTTAATGAGTGAATCTTAGGTTCTAATTATCTAAATCATACACTATAAACCCAAAGATGGTGCATTGATTTTTTTGCCTATATTTGGACAAATCATAACCGTCGATTATTGTTTCTAATTAAATTGATCTTGGGGTATAAGATTTAGAGAATTTAGACCTAGGTTTTGATCTTTAAGGGTTAGAGTATAGTATCATGTCCGAAAGATCAGTCAATTCAAGTTCTGGATAGCGTTTTCTTACTCAAGGTATGCGGTACCCCGGATTTCACTATGGGTACCGTAGAACTCCCATATATATATGATAGATACTTCGATGCACTTAGTTTTTTGGGTGCATTGACTCTGAAAGTGGTCATAATAATCAAAATTTGAACTTTAATTGGTAGAATTAGTGTAATATGATGATATAACATGGAATTATAACTAATCAATCCATTTCCCTAAACTCTTGACCTTCAATTTTGAATCCTAGCCCAAAACCCCAAATTGTAAACCTAAACCCTAAGGGTTAATTGTATGGTTGGTCACTCAGATTACAAAAAACGTTCATGTTTGGTCACTGGAAATATTTAAATCCAACCTTGGTCACTCAATTTAGTTAAATGGTTCAAGTTTGGTCACTCTCCGTCCAACTCCGTTAAATTTGTCTGATGTGGCAGTCAACCCTCAAAGTTGACCGTTAACTCGGTGACGTGGCAATTAAAAAATAATAAATAGAATAAATTTTAATCTTCTACCATTTCCAACTCATTTTCACAATAAAGTAAAATGAAAAAAAAATAAAAAATTATTATAATCACGCTCTCAGAAGGGTAGAAATCGTCAGACGCTTCTTTGACCGAGGGATCGAGGGTAAACACGCCGCAGCAGGCGTCGATGATGCAATCGTCGAATATGTGAGTGGTTTTCGGGATGGGGCCGTGGGAGATGACGCAGGTATAGTCCTCGGAAAGCTCAATTTCGCCGGCGGTGAAGACCCGCTGCAGCGGCGAGTTCGAGGCGTCCAGACCCGAATTGTCCAACCCGAACGTCGTGGATTTTAGTACGGGGGATGGGGATAGATCGAAGGAGGAGAAAGAGCTGCCCAATTGAGAGTTCCTCTACCTCTCTCTTCTCCTTTGTTTCTTTTCTTAATTTTGGAAGCTGCTGTAATTTCGTCTCTGTATTTCGACCTTAACTCTTCCTCTTCTTTTTCCATCTATGCTGCCTTGATTCAATTTCAGAGTTTGCGATCAGAGGGATCATAAGTGAAAAAACAGAGAGAGTAAGATAGTTTGACGATGGGGGAGTACAGTTCTTCAAGCAAGTCCAATTCCATTCCGCGGTTATTCACTGCCTTCGCCTCCTTCAAGAATGAAACCGTCGAAGCTGCGGCGATGATGAGCCCGACTTCCATCCTAGACAGCAAGTCCTTCTCCGGCCTCAAAAACCCATTCTCCCCTGAACTCGCTTCTCCCGCCGCCGCCGCCAGTACTGGGAAAACCTCGATTTCCCTAAAATCGGGCTCAGCCTTGTCGACGTTCTTTTCTCCGATTTGAACAAGAGCCCCCCAAATTCATCAACAAAATTACCCGCCGAGAGCCGAATGGTTCTGTTCGGGTCCCAGCTCAAGATCCAGATCCCTTCTTCCTTGCTCTCCCTCCCGCCTTCTTCCCTAGCAACATGGTCTTCCCCCAGATCTCCGGCCGATTTCGGGATAAGACGAGGAACTCTCAATTGGGCAGCTCTTTCTCCTCCTCCGGTCTATCCCCATCCCCCGTACTGAAATCCACGATGTTTGGGTCGGACAATTCGGGTCTGGACGCCTCGAACTCTCCGCCGCAGCGGGTCTTCACCGCCGGCGAAATGGAGCTTTCCGAGGACTATACCTGCGTCATCTCCCACGGCCCCATCCCGAAAACCACTCACATATTCGATGATTGCATCGTCGACGCCTGCTGCGGCGTGTTTACCCTCGATCCCTCGGTCAAAGAAGCGTCCGACGATTTCTACCCTTGTGAGAGCGTGATTATAAATTTTTTTAATTTTTTTAATTTTACTTTATTGTGAAAATGAGTTGGAAATGGTAGAAGATTAAAATTTATTTTATTTATTATTTTTTAATTACCACGTCACCGAGTTAACGGTCAACTTTGAGGGTTGACTGCCACATCAGATAAATTTAACGGAGTTGGACGGAGAGTGACAAAATTTGAACCATTTAACTAATTTGAGTGACCAAGGTTGGATTTAAATATTTCCAATGACCAAACATGAACGTTTTTTGTAGTCTCAGTGACCAACCATACAATTAACCCTAAACCCTAACCCTAAATTTCTAAACACAAAATAATTTAAATTAAAGTAAATCTTAGATGATTTTTGTATAAATTCCTGTATTTTCTTGTCCATCATACCATACGTAACAATTGTCATCGTTTCTACATGAATCATCTGCTTAGAATCAACCTAGGGCACCCCTATATCGTAGGAGATTGATCCATCGACTCCCTCGGGGATCGCCCGGACGATATGTGGTGAGGAGTTGTTTCCCTCCTAGGTCAAAAGCTCGATTGACTCAATTACTCTACCATTAGGAGATAGACTCCCTCGGGAATGACCCGGAACGGCGAATCGATGAATGTGGTAGGCTCTATTCAACCTAGGGCAACCCTATATCGTAGGAGATTGATGGAATTGACTCCCTCGGGGATTACCCGGATGATATAGGGTGAGGAGTGACCCGAAGACGCCAATAATGGGCTCTAAGGGGATTTTCTCCCTCCTAGGTCAAAACCTCAATACATGAAAATGGAAACCCAACTCATGTCATTCATGAAAACATCCATCAATTAAGTAAAATCATCAATCAAACATGGAATGTGTCACATACATCAGCATTAAACTCAAATATAGACCTAGGGTTCTTAAACCAAGAGAAGAGGTTGAGTTTCTAGAGAGAGAAGAGAGAAATTACAAATTGGAGCCCAAAATATTCTTCTTCTTCTTCTAGGCTTGAATCCTTGTCTTCAATATCAACTCAAGCCTCCAATTAAGCTCCAAGATCACTCAAGCACTCTCCCTCTCTCTAGAACTCCCCTTTGGTGTTTTGGGTTGAAACCCTAGAAAAAAGAAACTATTTCCTCTCCCAAAAACCAGCTATCCCTTTTCTTTCTTCTGTTGTTGCCTTTAATACCCATATCAAAGGTTGTTCACGGTCTGAGTTCACGGTCGTGAACTCAAAGCCTGGACTGTGAACTCGAACCAATTCGCATGGTTTCACTACAGCACTTTAAGGCTGAAGTTCACGGTCTTACGACCGTGAACTGACTTGACGTCAGTAACCTTTAGAATTGCTCTGGAACCCGGTCAGTTCACGGTCATGGGGCAATTTTCACGACCGCTACTTTGGGCATTTTTTCGCTTTTTTGCGCTTTTCGACCTCCAAACGACCCGAAACTCTTACTTGACCTTCCCACACGTACTATGACCTGAAATGTATCAAAACAAACACAATCTAAAATAGGTCGATGGACGGTAAATGTGGGGTAAAAGGTGTGTATTTGGACGAATTCGGAGGTAAAATGTGGGTTTTGTTAAAAACCCACCCTGCTTTATCAAGCTGGTCAAAGTGTGTTGAATCCAGTGTGGACGAACTCAGGGAACGAGTTTTGCCCACTTTTTTAATTGACAGGTTGGGTCTGGTACGAACGAATTTAGGATTAGGAGCGAGTTGTTCCTGCTTATTTGTTTTTTTTTTTCTTCTTTTGGTTGAGAATGACAATTGAACCTAACATGACCATAACTTTAATTGATTTTCTATTTTTCTAATCTTTTGATTCTATCTTTCTAAAGGTTGTCAAACCGTGGTGTTGGCGATTTTTGCGTTGGCAACGAGTTTTACATGTTTTTCTAATATACGGGATTGAGCGGGTGCGGATTTTGTTAAGTGAGTTGAAACCGGTGTTGATGGGTTTTGCTTCAGGAACGGGTTTTACATGATTTTCTAATTGATGGGATTGAGTCGGTTATTCTATCTTCCCAATGGTTGTCAAAACCGTGGTATTGATAAATTTTGCGTCGATAATGAGTTGTACACGTTTTTCAAATTTACGAGCTTGAACCGAGTGTGAATTTTGTTAACCGACTTAAACCCATGAGTGGCTTTTCCGTAATTGGAGGGAACTTTGTGGATATTTTGGGTTTTTCCATTTTCTGCTTTTCGTAGTTCCTTATATGTTTCCTTCCTGTGCCAACCACGACCACATAATTTACTTTTCATCTTCTGTATAGGGATGGCAATTACCCGCTCATGGGTATTTTTGCCCAAACCCATTTATACCCATCTACTATGGGTAGGGTATGGATTTATTCTATATGGGTTTGGGTAGTACTTGGGTAAGTGGAAATGGGTTTGGATTTTGTTTTAAATGTGAAAATGGGTATGGGTTGGGTTTGGATATCCATCACTTTGTAAATGTTTATTTTCGAAGTACTAAAATATAAAACATAATTTTAAAGCTATCAATTATATAGTTTTCCATACCTAATGTTGGACCTGTTTGTAACTCTTTATAAAATTCAGGTACTAAATAGTAATTATTTACATGGAAGCATATGCCATCAGATCTGCTCCACCGACCGATCTCCTCCTGTTCGCCGGCCACCGACATCCCAAAGTGGACCGCCGACACGGTTCCAGAAAGCCCATGAAATTGGAACTCGTCTGAATTTATACAACATGATTTTTAACGGCGAGAGTGGCAGGGTATGTTGACTCTCGGAGAAGACCGCGTTCTAGATCTCGGAGAAGGCGCCGACGATGATGTCGTGATGGTAAAGCGAATTCAGTTGGATGAAGCAGTTGAGGAGCTCCCTGAGATATTCCCGCGAGAATATCTGCTTCTCCAGGATCATCTCCAGCATCGAATTTCGAAAATCCAGGTATGATCGTCGAAAAGTGCTTTGATGTTTGCAATTGACATATTCCACACTTAGAGTTCCTATCTTTCAAACCTCCCCTCAAATCATCGATTCATGGCAGTAGGCTGTATCAGATATCAAATACGCAATAATCAATCCACCCACCTCCGACCTCTGGCCTTCCCCCGATCGACGGTCGGGAATATGAAAGTGGCGTGGGGACTGATTTGAATCTCCAATTCTTGAGGCGAGATCAATTGCGCCGTCGGCGGAGGCTGGAGGGTAAAGCAAGAGAGATAGAAGAGAGAATGTCGAGTGAAGGCCAAATATCAATTTGGGAAATTAATTTGTTGTTTTTCGTTTTTTATTTAATTATTTGGGTTTGGATTTTTTTACCCAAATTCATGTGTAAAACTCAAATAGATCCAACATAATGGGTATGGGTATTGATCCATCTGACTTCACCCATTTACATTTGACTTGGGTTTCAGACCCAACCCAATTGGGTTGGATAATTAAAAATCCATGGGTATGGGTAAAGTTGCCATCCTTACTTCTGCATAGGCTCTCTCTCCCCTTTCTCTCTTGAACGACAGGGGCGATGGTTGGGTCCAACGGAGATGACGATGATGATCGGGATGAGGTCTTCGTGATGATCACACCGGTCAGCAGGCTCTCAACGCCATCGTCTCAGCTTACAGTTTAGTCTCGGATCAACATGGCGAAGGCGAGCTTGGTCTGCGTAGATTGACCCAAAGTGGAGACGAAAACGAAACAATGTCGATGAGTTCCTATAAAAAAAACAATGCCGATGAGCAGGCTGTGGTAAGTAAACTTCATTTGTTTCGTTTTTCAGACTTTTGAGTTGTTCTGAATCCTCATTTTTTTATCTATGGGTTTTTTTTATTAGGATGAGGCAAGATTTTTTATTAGGATGAGGCAAGGAGACAAATTCAGGGGATTGGGCACATCAGTTCTAACCGGAGTCAGTTGGCCTTGCTCAGAGTCGAGTGATAATATCGGAGTGGTGACCGGGAGTGAGGCCCCTGTGCTGATCAGACCGACAACACAGGGCCTTCAAATGATTGTGGCCTCACAATCAAACCCATACACTTATATATACATGTATATAAAAAATGCAGTGTGAATTGAAATTGGCTGAATGGCCTTTTGGTTTTTTATTTGCTCGTGAACGAAAAATGGGCCCTAACCAATTTTTATGTTTTTTTTATTTTCAGGGACACGTCTGATTGGAAAATTAGAGGCCTTGTATCATTTGATATGTGGCCCTAATCATCTTCCTTGGCTTTTATATATTATTTAATAATATTTATTTTTAATAAATTTTTAGGGGAATTTTGAGGGTCACATTATTAATTTTTGAACAGGGCCTCCAAATATCTTGGGTCGGCCTTGCCGAAAGTTTATTAAGATTCTTCAGACATGGGTCGTGCTCCTGATCAGAGGCGGAGCTACATTGTAGCTAGGGTGGGCCTGACCCCTAGGTTCTTAAGGATATTTAGTATAAATTTTATAAGTAGAACTTGTTCTATAAATTATGTCATGTAATAGTTATGTGGTCTAATGGTAGACAAGCTTAACTTATGTATGAAAGCACACATATTTGATCCACATTGATCTCGAAATCCTGGTTTTAAATTATTCTCGGCCTCCCGGTCTCAAAATCCTGGCTCTGCCCTTGATTGGTGCTGTCAAGAACTTTCTCTGTAATCATGAGTAGGGCTGCTAACGAGCCGAGCTCGCAAAGCTCGTTGGGACACTTTTTCGTAATTTGATGTTTGGCTAATTGTTTTAATATTTTTTATTTAAATGGATTAGTCTCTTTTTTTTTTTACAGGAACCTGCTCAAATAAAATTACTGAGAATGGTTGACTACATTATCCAGCCGGAGCTGGTCCATCAAGAAACTCGAGGGTCGATCTACCCAAACCACCGCGGAGTCCCAGTTCGTATCTCTATGCGCCATCACATGAGCTGCTGCATTCTGCTCCCGCCTCACGTGTCTCCAAACTCCCGTTTCCGGACTTACCAGTAAACGCCTAATACTTCGGCAGATAATCCCAACCTCCGTTTGCACTACATCTGCCTCGTTCAGCTTCTGGATCAGACTAAGGCAGTCCACCTCA